GACGGATGGATGGATGGATGGATGGAGAGATGGATGGATGATGGATGGGTAAACGGATAGACAGATTGATAGAAGGATAGGTGGGTGGGTGGGTGAGTTGGTAGGTAGGTAGGGATGGATGGATGGATTTGACCCAAGGAGCAGGGTTGATGTGTCAGTGTTGTGCTAGGTTTGCATTGATTAAACTCTTAGCAATATTTACCCAGAAATTAACCCAGGTTTGAGTTACATAGCACTAACCTAAAACTACCTTTAAATTAACCCAAATGCCTCAACACAACATTTGGGTAGAAGAAATAAGCCTGGATTGTTTTAGGGTGTAGCAATACAGTGCTGCAATCAGTGTTGGGGAAGTTGGGCCAATGACAGCGGGGTGGCTGGTGATTTCCAGAATCAGGTAGATTTGGTTGAAATATTAAAGTGACCATTTATTAGCCACGGCCCACAGAAGATAGAAAAAGTTGTTTTAATAGTAAGAAATGCCTGTGCGTTGCTCCCAATACTCTCCTACATTTGAAATAACGAACTTGCTTTTTTGATGCGAGTACATAGTTAAAGCGTCCCAATATAAAGTGTTGCCGCCTTTTAAACTCCTCTTTACTGTATTATTGAGCGAGAAAATCCGAATGTGCGAATATAAAACTTTCCCCTCAACAGTTTTCCTGTCTGTCCGCAGGTATCTCAACTACTTCGCCACCAAGTCGAGTCCGACCGGAGTGATCCTGGACCTGTGGGAGGCGCAGCACTTCCCCGACGGGAACCTGAACCGGCTGGCGGCCGTGCTGGAGGAAATGGGACGACACGAGGGCATCATAGCAGAACACTGACCCGCCGGACCCCCGCAGCCAGATCACTGTGAGCACGCAGACCTGCTCCGGAAGACAACAGGAAGAGGACGGGAAGAGGAAGAGTATGAGCGAGAAAGAGAAATAAAACTAGAAGAGGAAAAGAATAGGAAAAGGAATAAAACAGGAAGAGGAAGAGAATGCGAAAGGGAAGAGGAAGAGACCAGGAAGAGGATGAAAAAAAGGTAAAGAACAGGAAGAGGAAAAGGAATGAAACAGAAAGAGGAAGAGAACGGGAAAAAGAAAAGGAAGAAAACAGGAAGAGGAAGAGAACGGGAAAAAGAAAAGGAAGAAAACAGGAAGAGGAAGAGAACGGGAAAAAGAAAAGGAAGAAAACAGGAAGAGGAAGAGAACGGGAAAGGGAAGTCCTCTGCAGTCCTCTACTAATCCAATCAGTTTCCCAGGAAACGCCACTTCTGCTGTCCAAATATCCTCCGAGAGCGACGTCACCATCAAAACAAACATGTGGAGGATCCTCTATAGGAGGACATGATGAAGATGCCTTTATTTATACGCTCATATCTGTCTGATTGTTTTCCTTGTTTTATTGCGCCATCCAGTGGACAAGCCCTGCAACTACACGTCCAGCCTCTTATGTGTGTGTGTGTGTGTGTGTGTGTGTGTATATATGAGCGAACACATTTTAACTGTTTAACAGTGTTATTCTTACTCTGAGATTATGTTTTCTTTACTATTAATTTCATTTTGTTGACTAGTGATCTGTATCTAATGGAAAATGTAGAAGAAAAGACAAACAAAAGACTAAACGGGGGAGCAGATTGGTGCTGTGGGACTGAACTCTGGAGTTTTCCGGCAGGGTGTGAATAAAAAGCTGATCGGACTTTAGTGATGGTGCATGCGGAGCTGCTGCGGTCACACACGTACAAAGGTCAGCTGGACTAATAGCCATTCCTGAGTGAGTGTGTGTGTGTGTGTGTGTGTGTGTGTGTGTGTGTTTCACTCCACCTTCAGTTTCTCTTGTACGAGTTGAGCAGATTTCTAAAGCTGTCTATGCAAATTCTGCATCCTTTATACAACCAATTATACATGCTTAAAAAACAGAACAGAAAACAGAAGCCGCTAGCAGTCGCTATCCATAGCTGTCATAGCATTATTATA